CCTCTCCTCCAGATTACAAAGAACTCCTTGTCGTGGCGCGGCGCCACAAAGGGATTCCTTCTGTGCCGTGTTACAGAAGGATTCTTTTGTGGCGGATAGCAACCGGATTCCTTTTGTGGGTTCTCCCCCTCCTCCTTCTCCTCTTCCTCCTCGTCTTCCTCCTCCTGCTCTTCCTTCTCCTCCTCCTCCTCCTCCTCCTCCTCCTCCTCCTCCTCCCCTCGCCTCTTTTTTTGTGTTCATATTCATACATATGTTCGTGTGCAGGGCAGTTTTTTGATATAACGACTATTCTGCATGCTTTTCATGTTTATCTGCCCTTCCGTTCCCGCGGCGCCCGCCCCCGCCCTGGTACGAGACCATGGAAAAACAGGACATATATGACATCGTCTGAAAAAGCCTGCCCTGCACCTGCAGGCATGGGAAACACTCAGCCTCCGAAGAACTCCTTGTCGTGGCGGCTCCCCGAAGAAATGCCTTTTGTGGCGGGTTACAGAAGTATTTCTTTTGTCGCGGATTGCACAAGGATTCCTTCCGTGGCGGCTTGCAATTGGATTCCTTTTGTATGGGGTTGCACAAGGATTCCTTTTACGGTGGTTTACAAAAGGATGTCTTTTGTGGCGGATTGCAGAAGGATTCCTGTTGGGGCGGCTTGCGCAATTTAAAAAAGAGGATTGCAGCGGATTCCTTGTGTGGCGACTTACAGAAGGGTTCGTTTAGTGACGGATCACAGAACATGTTTTGTGGCGGGCTACCATTGAATCCCTTTTGCAGCGTAATGCGGATTGATTCCTTCATTACTGGAGCACAACCATTGACTGAGGAGTCCGTCCGCCGTCCACCGTCCGCCGTCCTCCTCCGGCCTCCTGCAGAGAACCGCGGACGGCGGACGGACTCGTCACTCCTCCTCCTGCTTCTCCTCCTCCTCATCACCCTTTTCCTCATCCTCACTCCTCACTCCTCACTCCTCGCTCCTCCTCCATCTACTCATCCTCCTCCTTCTCATCCTCCCACTCTCATCCTCACTCCTCACTCCTCACTCTTCACTCCTCCTCCTCCTCCTCCTCCTCCTCCTCCTCCTCCTCTCCTCCTCCTCCTCCTCCTCCTCCTCCTCCTCCTCGTCATCAACATCATCATCGTCATCCTCATCAGCATCATCATCACCAACACCACCACCATCATCATCATCATCCTCCTCATCCTCATCATCCTCATCATCATCCTCATCCTCATCCTCATCCTCCTCATCATCATCATCATCATCATCATCACCATCACCACCATCGTCATCATCATCATCATCATCATCTTAAGCATCATCATCGCCATCATCATCATCATCATCACCATCACCATTACCATCACCATCACAATCACCATCACAAGCATCATCATCATCACCATCCTCATCCTCCTCATTATCACCATCATCATTCTCAGCATCGCCAGTATGACCATCATCACCATCATGATCACCACCACCAGCATCATCAGCATCATCATCATCCTCATCTTCATCATGATCATCGTCAGTATCATCATCACCATCATCATCATCGTCAGGATCTTCATCTTCATCTTCATCATCATCAGCACCACCATCATCATCATCATCATCATCATCGTTATCGTCCACGGCATCATCATCACCATCAGCATCAGCATCAGCACCACCACCAGCATCGTCATCATCATTGTCATCATCATCATCATCATCATCATCATCATCATCACCACCATCATCATCATCATCATCATCATCATCATCATCATCATCATCATCATCATCATCATCATCATCATCATCATCATCATCATCATCATCGTTATCATCATCATCACCATCATCATCACCATCATCAGCATCGTCCTCAGCATCAGCAGCAGCATCGTCGTCGTCATCATCATCATCCACTCTCCACATTATCCTTCTCATGTTGCTCCTCGTGTTTTTCCTGGCCGATCATGCTGCGCTCCCTCTGGTTTCTCGTCCTGCTGGGGCTTCGGCTGCTCCTCATCCTCACCCCCATCCTCCTCCTCCTCCTCCTCCTCCTCCTCCTCCTCCTCGCGCCCCCTCTTCCCCTGCCTCCCGCATCACCCTCACACCTCATCATCTTTCCGCTCCCCCTCCTCCTCCTCCTCCTCCTCTTCCTCCTCCTCCTCCTCCTCCTCTTCCTCATCGCTCCTCCTTCGCCTCATCGTATCACTCTTCTTCCTCCGGGGAGGAGGGGGGAAGAACGCGAACAGCAGGAGGAGTCAGAGCAGAGGAGGAGGAAGAGGAGGAGGAGGAGGAGGAGGAGGAGGAGGAGGAGGAGGAGGAAGAGGGGGAGGAGGAGGAGGAGGAGGAGGAGGAGGAGGGGGAGGGGGAGGAGGCGGAGGCCGAGGAGGAGGAGGAGGAGGAGGAGGAGGAGGAGGGGGTGAAAGCCTGAGGGATGATGAGCATGGCGAGGAGGAGAATGAGGGAGGAAGGCGGACGAGAAGGATGAGGATGAGGAGGAGGAGGAGGAAGATGAGGAGGAGGAGGAGGAGGAGGAGGATGTCGATATGGGAGTGAACTGAGGTGGTGGAGGGGGAAGAGAGCGAGGGGGAGTAGGAGGGGGAGGGAGGGACGACGAGTGAGGAGGAGGAGGAGGCGGAGGAGGCAGAGGAGGAGGAGGAGGAGGAGGAGGAGGAGGAGGAGAAGGAGGACGAGAAAGACCAATCATGAATGGGGAACATGATGAGGAGGCCCAGGCAGGAGAAGGGGATGAGGAGGGATAGGAGGAGAAACATGGGGAGGATGAGGAGGAGGAGGAGGAGGAGGAGGAGGAGGGGGGGAGGAGGAGGAGGAGGAGGGGGAGAAGGAGGAGGAGGAGGATGAGAATGAGCAGCAGGTGGAAGGAGGAGTGCTAACGAAGAGAACTGATCATGCTGATGCTACTGCTGCTGCTGATGATGCTGATGATGACGATAACGATGATCATGATGATTTAGCGGGGGAGGATGAGGAGGGTGATGAGGAGAAGGGGGAATCTGGATGAGGATCAAGACTCTAATGAGGACCTGTTAGGAGGATGAGGATGATGAGGAGGAGGAGGAAGAGGAAGGGGATGAGAAGGAGAAGGATTGGTGGAAGACGAGAGGGAGCAGGATTACGGTGGAGAGTGATGACGCGCAGACATAATGAAGATACTGTGGTACAGATGCAGAAGAGGGGGATAACAACGAATTCGATTCAAATCTTGGAGTGGTGCACACAGACACACATACATGTATACACATAAACATACGTATATACAAGAAGAGAGGAATCAATGATATGATATGGATAATGCGCGCATATGCAACTACATATGTACATACACATTTCCATGTCTGTAGACATACACATGGATACACGGCATAGATGCGTTGGGATTCCATACAGTGCAATCTTACAGCGAACGCCTCCCTGCTTTGACTCGACAATCTCAGGTACGGTGGTTTGGAGCGTCCACGAAAACCCGACATACAATATTAGATTCTCTGGGTCTTCCCCAGCCTCGCGATTCAGGCGTCAGTCTGCGAGCTCATGCATGAATCCCAATTCTGATCGTTTAAGCTCATGGGCATTCGGGGGCCAATCTGGACGGAAGAAATGTGGACACATGCGTGTCAGTCCGTGCACTGAACGTCTTTCCCGAGCGCGCCAAGCAAGAACTCCCGTGGTGTTTCTGAAGTACCCTTCTTGGGCGTGTAGGTTCCAGTTGCGCGAAGCGTCGATTACAAGGCTGACGCCACACCGCCGACCCCTTGGGGTCTTTCGGTTACCCGGGCATTCTCTCATTGTCGCCATAGAGCATCACTTGCCACCGTGAGCCCCCAGGGGCCGATGGCACTATAGGCATAGGCCAGCCTGGTGGGGGTTAGCGGCGTTCGGGTCTGCTGCTCCTTAAGTGCTTCCACTGTGGCCCGCTCCCAGTCACAGTGGAGTGTTGGTAGTGATGGTGCTGCTGTTTCGATGGTGCCGCGCTCAGAGGCCTCGATGGTCCTTGGTGTTTTGCGAGATGCCTTTCGCGCACTTTTTGAGGCCTGTTGGAAACTGCACGGATTGCTTCTGCGGCGGGCGTACCTGGTTCCGAGAGCACATGGGTCTGCATCTGGAGAAGGAGGAGGAGGACGAGGAGGAGGAGGAGGAGGAGGAGGGAAGGAGGAGAGGGAGGATGATGGAGGATGAGGATGAGGATGAGGATGATGAGGATGATGATGATGATGATGATGAGGATGATGATGATGATGATGATGATGATGATGATGATGATGATGAGGAGGAGGAGGAGGAGGAGGAGGAGGAGGAGGAGGAGGGAAGGAGGAGAGGGAGGAGGATGGAGGAAGAGGAGGAGGGCAGGGCCGAGGGCAGAGTTACGAGTGGGTGGGTCAGAGCTTCTCATGCAAGCAAGACACGACAGCTGGGCATTCTGGTTGCTCCTTGTCATGAGAAACTGGTTTCCTCGCGCTTCGCGGGGTGCACGTCCAGAGCGCGCAGCCACGGACACTTGGAGAGCTCCTAGGAGCCTTTGGAGGCATCCTGGGGGCATCTCGGGGGCATCTTCGGGCCTCTCGGGGGCTTCTTGGGGCCATCTTGAGGCCTCTTGGGTGCGTCGTGGGCTGCCTTCGAACGTTCTGCTGGCGCCTTCGGAGGCAGTCTTGGTGGACTCTCTGGGACTGTCTTTGGGTCCTCTTGAGTGCTTCCTTCGCCGTCTTGGTGCCCTCTTGGAGGCCTCTATGGCCGTCTTGGGGCGATCCGGGGGGGCCTCTTGTGCCAGCTTGGATTGTTTGAAAAGCAAATGTGCTGGAAATGCACGCTTTCCCAAAGGCGCACAATTATTGTTGCTTGTTGGGGCCCTCTTGAAGGTCTTCTTGGAGCTCTCTGGGGGCGTCTTGGAGGCTTCGCGGGCTGTCTTGAAGCCACCACGGGGCGTCTTGGGCCAACTGGTGCCACATGGAGGCAATTTTGGCCAGTCTTGGGGCCTTGGGCCATTTCGAGGCCATCTGAGGCGAAGCTTTGATTTCCCGACGCGCATCGTAGTTGTTTCCCTCAATGCCGCGACTGTCCCCATGCAGAAGCTGCCCCTGGGAGCCAAGCGCAATGGTGTGGACAGCAATGGCCCTGCAGCGAAGCGGGCACGGGGTGGCCAGGGTGCAGAGGCGGGGAGCGCCACTGGACGAGCTGCCGCCAGCGCAGCCTCCGACCTGCCGATCCACGGCTACAGGGAGGAGATCCTGGAGGCCGTCCGGCAGCACAGGGTCGTGGTCCTCGTCGGGGAGACGGGCAGTGGTAAGACCACGCAGGTGCCGCGCTTCCTGCACGAGGCCGGCTACTCACGCCAGGGCCCCATCGCGGTGACCCAGCCGCGCCGCATCGCGGCCATCAGCGTGGCGTCCCGCGTGGCCGCGGAGATGCAGAGCGCCATGGGCGGCCTCGTCGGCTACCACGTCCGCTTCCTCAACAGGACCTCCAAGGACACACGCGTCAAGTACATGACGGACGGTATGCTGGTGCGCGAGTCCGCGGGTCCTTGGCGGCGCTCAGAAGGGGGCGCTGCGAGAGGGGGGCGGGCGCCTGGGAAGGCAGGGGGCCTCTCAGCAGCCATCCCGGCAACTTGAGAGGAGCCTTCTCTCAGAAGCAGCCTCCGCTCCCCCCAAAGGACGCCGCCGCCCCCCCCCCCCCCCCCCCCTACCCCCCCCCCAAGGGCACGCCCCCCCTCCCCCCCCCCAAGGACACCTCCTCCTGCCCCCCCCTTTTCCCACCAAGGACGTACCAAGGACGCACCCCAGCCCCCTCCCCTTCCTTCCCTGCCTTCCTCAGAGGGCCGCCCCCCTCGCCCCGGCCCCAACCAAACTTCCAGTCAGAAGCGGCCCCATGAACCCCTCCCCAGGGCCCCTGTCCTGGCCAGCTTTCCGAGCCGCGTCCAGCCCCTGCCACGAGAACTTCCCTGCAGCACCCGAAGAGCCTCCGAAAGGAAGATGTCGACGGCGGCGGTGCCGCCGGCCGTCCTTTCCGCACCGCCAAGGCCCCCTTGGTCTTCGGCACTGCGGCATGGTGGTGCTCGACGAGGCCCACTTGCCACCGCTGTGGGAACTGTGGTCCTTACCCCTCCCCCTGGGGGCCCATCGGCGTCGACGCCCCTCTCAGGAGATCGTCGATGCGATGGGTTCCCCCTCATGGGGGGCTGGGGGCAAACCCCTCTCCGGTTGTGCGCGCCCAGCGGGAGCCAGCGATCGGAGGACGCTAAAAGTATGCAACTGTACCGATCTTGGCCAGCTCTCTCCCGAGCCCAGTACACGTGCACGTGCCCTCACGGCCAGGCCGTGCGGGCGCGGTCACCGATCCTGGGCACGGGATGCGCCTTCAGCACGGGATGGGCCTGGCCAGGATCGGGTCCGGTGCACGGCTGGTGTCCTCCCACTCTGACGAGGCTCACGAGCGGAGCATCCACACCGACGTGCTGCTGGGCCTCGTGAAGTCCGCCCTGGATGCTGGCGAGCCACCACACCTGAGGCACGTTTGCCTGAGAGGGTTCTTCGTGTTTAGGGTACCCACGCTTGCCAGGGGAGGGGGAGGGGGAGGGGGAGGGGGAGGGGGAGGGAAAGCAGAGCAGGAAGAGGCAGGGAAGACGAAAAGAGGAGGATGAGGAGGATGTGGCGATGAGGAGGAGAAGGAGGAGCAGGATGATGAGAAAAGGAGGATATTGTATAGATGATGAGTGTAAGTCGGAGGAGGAGGAGGAGGAGGAGGAGGAGGAGCAGGAACAGGAGGAAACGGAGGAGCAGAAGGAGGAACAGGAGGGGGAGGAGAAGTAGGGTATAGGAGGAGCAGGCGTCTCTCTTTTGCCGCTGCTATTCTCCCCGCTCTGCCCTCATGGTGCGCTCCCCTCCCTTCCTTCCTCTCTCCTCCTCACTCCTGCTCCTCCTCCTCCTCCTCCTCCTTCTCGTCCTCCTCCTTCTCCTCCTCCCCCTTTTTCCTTATTTGAGTGGCGTGCGCCATTTTGCCGCCCCCCGGGGGAGAAACGAAGTCCACGGGTGAGGCTTTCGGCTCCTTATGAACCGTTTGAGGGGCCTGTTGGGGCATCTTTTGAGTTTTCTTGGGGGCCTCTTCGAGCCCCTTAGGGGGTCTGTTGGGCGCCTGCTGGCGGCCTCGGGGGTCCTCTTGGGGTGAAGGGCTCGAAGTGTCAGTCCGAGTTCCCCTTCTTGGGCCCCTCCTGAGGCTCTTAGGGGGCCCTCTTGGGCCGCCTTGGGCGCCTCTTGGGCCGTCTTGGGGCTCTCTTGGGCCGTCTTGGGGCCCCATTAGGGGCCTCTTGGGCCGTCCTGGAGCGATCTTCGGGGCCTCTTGGGCCGCCGCTGTTGAAGCTGACAGGGTGAATCTACAAGAAAGGTATGTTTTCTTTCGGAAATGGAGCGATGTTGGGCTCTTGGGGCCCTGCTGGGGGTCCTCTTGAAGCTCTCTGGGGGCGTCTCGGAGGCTTATTGGGCAGTCCTGAGGCTAGCTGATTGTTTTTGAGGCCACCTTGGCGTGTTGGAGCCCAGCTTGAGCAAGCTTAGATAGAATCTTGGGGGCATCTCGAAGGCCACGGAGCGTAGAAGTGGAGGCTCCAGAGGCCACGGGGGGGAGTTCCGGAGCCCCGACTCGCCCCCCAGCCTCCCGCCCCCCCCCAACTCCCCGGAATCGGATTTGAGACCCCAGGGGAGGGGGAAAAGGTGGAGGGCGACGGCCACTCATCTCACACGCCTCTGCACCCCTGGCAAGCGGGAGTCGGCGGATTTGATATTCGGGGACCCGAATCTCGTGTAATGTATGAGGGTTTGTGGCCTCGGGGACGTCAGCATTGCATACTTTATTCAGGCTTGTGGACTCGGGGTCGCAAATATTGAGTGATTTTAAAAGGTTTATGGCCTCGGGGATGAGAACATTTGATCATTTGCGAGGGTTTGTGGCCCCGGGGACGCAAGTATGGTGTAATTTCCAAAGGTTTATGGCCCTGGGGATGCGAATATTGTATAAGTTTAAAAGGGTTTGTGGCTTTTGGGGCGCGAGAGTTGTGTAATTTACGTGGATTTATGGCTTCGGTGGCGCGAAGATGGTGTGATTTATGAAGGTTTGTGGCTGCGGGGACGCAAGTATAGCGTAATTTGTAAGGGATTGCGGCTTCGGGGACGCGAGCATTGCATAGTTTTCAAGGGTTTATGTTCTCGGGGACGTGACTATCGAGTATTTTGACGTGTCCCACGCCCCCCCAGGAATTCAGACAGCGCTATCTGGGCGTGGTAAAAAAGGCTGGTATTGGGCTCCCCCCCTCGCGCGTTCAGCAACTATTTGCAGTAGGAAGCAGAAAGCCGGACTGTAACATTGGGGACTTGAAATTGGAATTGTTGCAGGGAACATGAAAGCCTAATCTTCGCAGCCTGATGGCCTCGCAAGGGGGCCGGCGGACTGCTCTTTCTTCTCCTTCTCTCTCTTCCCCTCGCTATCCTTCCAATCCCTTTCTTTCCTCTCCTCTTGTTCCCCTCCCCCTCTCCCCCCTGTTTCCCCCTCTTCTTATCCCCTGTCCCCCCTTCCTTTCATTCCTCCCTCCTCCATCCCTAGGGTGGAGGAAGCAAACGGGAAACAGGCGAATGTGTAGAGATGTGGTACCGCACGAGGGCGCCCTCAAGGAGCAGGAATGGAGCCGTCGAAAGGCAGAACCCTGACCCTTAGCCTACTTCATCCCCTCTTTCTCCACCAAACCGACTGCTTGTCGTCCTCCTCCTCCTCCACCTCCTCCTCCTATTGCTATTTCTATTTCTAGTCCTCCCTCCCCTCCATCTCATCCCTTTCCTCCTTTTCCCAACATCCTCATTTTCTTTTTCCCAACCATCCTGTGGTATTGGGTCCTCGTTTTGACGAGACGGTCTCCGCGTTCCCTCCCTCCTTCCTTCCTTCTCCCTCCTCCCTCCCCCTCCTCCCATCCTTTTGCCTCTGCCCTCCGCATGTTCATTTCGGCGCACCCCTCACACGTTTCGTGGCCCCATGGGGTGCTCCACCGAAGGCCCCAGTGGCAGGGTCCGCATGCAGTTCCACCTCCATTTCGGCGCACCCCTCACACGTCTCGTGGCCCCATAGGGTGCTCCGCCGAAGGCCCCCGTGGCAGGTTCCGCATGCAGTTCCACCTCCATTTTGGCGCACCCCTCACACGTTTCGTGGCTCCATAGGGTGCTCCGCCGAAGGTCCCAGTGGCAGGTTCCGCATGCAGTTCCACCTTTCATTTCGGCGCACCCCTCGCACGTTTCGTGGCCCCATAGGGTGCTCCGTCGAAGGCCCCCGTGGCAGGGTCCGCATGCAGTTCCACCTCCATGTCGGCGCACCCCTCACACGTTTCGTGGCCCCATAGGGTGCTCCGCCGAAGGCCCCAGTGGCAGGGTCCGCATGCAGTTCCACCTCTCATTTCGGCGCACCCCTCACACGTTTCGTGGCCCCATAGGGTGCTCCACCCAAGGCCCCCGTGGCAGGGTCCGCATGCGGTTCGACCTCCATTTCGGCGCACCACTCGCACGTTTCGTGGCTCCATAGGGTGCTCCGCCCAAGGCCCACGTGGCAGGTTCCGCATGCAGTTCCACTCCAATTTCGGCGCACCCCTCACACGTTTCGTGGCCCCATAGGGTGCTCCGCCGAAGATTCCAGTGGCAGGGTCTGCATGCAGTTCCACCCCGATTCGGGCGCACCCCTCACACGTTTCGTGGCCACATAGGGTGCTCCGCCGAAGGCCCCAGTGGCAGGGTCCGCATGCAGTTCCACCTCCATGTCGGCGCACCCCTCGCGCGTTCCGCGGTCCCATAGGGTGCTCCCCGTGGCAGGGTCCGCATGCAGTTCCACCTTTCATTTCGGCGCACCCCTCGCACGTTTCGTGGCCCCATAGGGTGCTCTACCGAAGGCCCCCGTGGCAGGGTCCACATGCAGTTCCACCTCCATTTCGGCGCACCCCTCACACGTTTCGTGGCCCCATAGAGTGTTCCACACAGGGCCCCAGTGGCAGGTTCCGCATGCAGTTCCACCCTTCATTTCGGCGCACCCCTTCCACGTTTCTTGGCCCCCAAAGGGCCTAGTGGCAGTGCCCGCACGTGGTTCCACCTTGCATTTCGGCGCATCCCACACACGTTTCGTGGCCTCACATGGGGCTGCACCGACGGCTCCGGGGGCAGCGTCCACATGGCGTACCCGTGCCAATTTGGGCACACTTGTCACATGCGTCGTGGCCCCAGAGAGAGGTTCACCGAGGACGATACCCACAACTGCGTTATACACAGTTGCGCATGGTTGGCTCCTTCGCCAGGATATTTTTGTGTGTTCCTGATTTTTCCTTCTTTTCCTCCTCCTCCTCCTGGTCGCTACGCTTCCTCGCCCGCCTCCATCGAGGGTGATTGTGATGTCCGCAACGCTGCATGCCGCGCCGTTCGTTGACTTCTTCGGCGGCCCCAAGCGCGTCAAGCTCGTCACGGTGCCCGGGCGGCAGCACCCGGTGCAGCTCTTCTACACGCCGACGCCGGAGCCTGACTTCCTGGAGGCCAGGCGACTTTCACCACACCCACTGTTCTGCCTCAAGATTGCACCGTTGCACGGTATCGCGTTGGCGCCTCTCGAGGCGTTGTCGATCCTCGACCCAGGCGTGGTACAGTGCATAGTTTTCCAGCCCTCAGAGCCAGAAAACTATCCACCGTACCGCGCTGGAGCGGGGCCGACGGGAGTCCAGACATGGTACCATGCATGGGGCGCCGTTTTCGTACCTTTCCAGCCCATCTGGCGTCTCAGCCTATTCGGCCACCGAGTGAACCTGTGCGCGTCTGCTCAAGACGTCGACTGGGCTCAGTCGCTGCAGGTAATCGTCCTCCCGCTCTTGCCACGGCTGCTGCTATTACTATCCATCCGCCTTCCTGCTTCTCATTCTCTTTCATGGATGAAGGAGGAAGATGAGGATTTCGCTGCTCAGCACCATGAGTGTGCCAGGGCGCCCGCCAGGGCGCCCGCCGAGTGAGGAGGAGGAGGCGGAGGAGGAGAAGGAGGAGGAGGAGGAGGAGGA